TTCTTTCTTTCTTTCTTTCTTTCTTTCTTTCTTTCTTTCTTTCTTTCATTGGCTCTTTCCTATAGCTGGAAGTATAGCAACCACTCATGGGTTTGATTTCACTACTGATTGGCACAGGAGTATTGATTTGTTCTGTTTCTGACCTGTGTTGGTTTGCCCGTCCTTAGGCAGCCTCCTGGCCCCCTGCTCCATGGAGCTCACAATATTGGTGCCAGACTTCATGCAGACATCTGATTGGCTTAGCCAATTACAACTTAGGACTATGGCACTCAAGGGATCCACCAGCCTCAGCTTCCCCAGTAGTGTGGATTACAGGCATGTGTCCCATGCCTGGTGGGCTAAACATTTCCAAAGAAACATCAGCAACATCAGTAAGATTAGCTGTTTTTGTTTTTGTTTTTTTTCAAACAAACCAGGCTACCCTGTGATGACTACAGGCAAAATCTGTCCCTCCCCCAAAATCTGTCGTTCTGGATTATAATCAATTTAACTTTGGGGAGAAAACATTTTTCTTTAGTCCTTTCTGGAGAAATTTTGAGCTGTTTTAATATCTTACAGCAATTTGGATCTACCTTTTAGGTGCACAGGAAAAATGCCCATGACCACCTTAATGGTGTCAAGATAGGTTCTGAAGAGTTATGCATCCATCACAAAGAATACTTTAGCAAGGTTCCAAAGAATTAGTGTTTGGAAACTTCAGGATAGAAAATTTTCTGAGGCTAAAAGTTGGTTCCAAGTAAGTGTCAAAATTCTATATGGACACAAATTTTTCTTAGAGACAAATAACCACAGGCATACATGAATTCAAAATAGTTGAGGTTTTGAAGCAATGACTGGAATGAATTAATATTCATAAAAGCTTCTCTCTAACATGAAGAAAGTGAATTCCAGTGTATCCCTAGTAGGAACAGTATCTACCAGAGGCCCTGCCACATAGCCAAGGAAACACCCTGAGACTTGATTGGCCCAAGGGACAAAATTTGAATCATTGATACATTTCTCCTTGCCAAAGCCCTTTCCATGGAATACACTGGGCCAGCTCAAACCAGTTGATTGTTTTCTCAGTGTGAACACTTATATCTTACTTGCAAACAGATCAGAGCTTGATTTGTTTTATTGATTGTCTAAACTTAGAAAGTAATAGAGAAAACACTAATAATGCAGATTAAACCTAAAAATGTCGTACACAGATGTTTTTCCCCCAGAGAACCAGTCACACATTTGTTCAACATGTTTAACATGTTGAGCATTAACCAGCTCACCCCTGTTTTGGTCCCATTGTATTCTGTCTTCTTCAATCTATCCCTATCTACTGACTCCATCTCTGACATTTACATACAGACCCATGTCTTCTCCATCCTCAAAAACCCCTCGTGATCTATCCATCCCTGGTAGCTACTGTCCTATGTCTCTCCTCCTTTTCATGATTAAACTCCCCGAAAAAGCCATCTACATTCAGTGCCTTCATGTCCTCTCTTTTCACTTGATTCTTTGCGCTGTCTGGTCTTTGCATTCTGATTTCATCATTCAACTGAAACTGCACCTTCCAAAGCTACCAATTACAAATCTCTTAACTGCCCAATCCAATGGCCTTTTCTCACTCTCCTCCTTCATTACCCTTCCACAGCCTTTGTCCATCACCACCTTCTCCTACTCTGTCTTCTCAAGATTTTTTGTGACTCTGTTCTTTCCTGGTTCCCCTCTTCATCCAGGTCATCTCTAACTGTAGGTGTCCCCCTAAACTCCCCCTTTATGCTGTCTCCCATGGTGATCGCATCAGTTCCCATGAGTTCAATTATCATCTCCATGCAAATGATCCCCAAGTGTATAATCCCGCCCTGACCTTTGTCTTGACTTCCAGTCCTGCATCACCATTTGCCTTTTGGGCATCTTGAATTAAGTGTTCTGGAGGCATCTCAAACTAACTCAGTGTGCTCCAAATAGAACTCGTTATCTCTACCCCCCAAACCCTTTTATCTTCCTAACTTCCCTGTTACTGGTCAGGGCACCACCAACCTCCCAGGTACCCAGCTTCATACCTGTATCATCCCTGACTCCTTACACACACTGCACGTATGCAGTCTGTTGTCAGGTGCTGTAGTTTCTACCTTTGTAAGATCTCTTGAATACGCCCTCTTCTCTCTGACACTGCTCCCACCCTGGTGCAGACTCTCATCACCTCACACCCAGACCATTGGCACAGCCTGCAGGGGGCTCTGCTGCCTCCAGGCCCTCCCCACTGCCGTCCATCCTCCATTCAGCCACCAGAGTGATCTCCCTAAAGCAAAGATCATGGCTCCCTATTACCTTCAGCATCAAGAATTAAATCCTACTTGCCATGAAAGCTGTTCATGCCCTGGCCCCCTTCCTCCAGCCTTTCCTCTTGCCCCTCACTCCCCTCCATACACTGAAGTCTGGCTCCTGGGGCCTCCTGGCCATTCCCCTACAAGACGGTCCAGCTTTGTTCTGTTCCTCACCCCCAGAAGGTTCTCCTCACTTCTGATTCTGAGCTCTCCCTTTTTTCGAGACTCCATTCAAAGCCTGCTTTCTGCAGAAGAGCCTGCCTTTCCCAGCTCCACCCCACAGCAGATAGCACCTTCCCTGTGCATTATCTTCCTTTAGTTGCTCTGATCTTATATGCACATTGTGTCTTCCCCATTAAAGCATGTCCAGGATTTCCTCCCCCTTTCTTATGTCTGGTGCCTAGCACAGTGCCTGGCTCATAGAAAGCACTTAATAAATGCTTATTGACTGACCTCCTGGTCACTTAAGGATGACAGAGGCTGGTCCATCAGAGTCAGTGGCCTCCAGGCTTGGTGACAATCCCCTGACTGAACAAATCACAGGACCTCTCTCTGCTGACCAGATGCATTTGTGTATGGGGACTGGGCCAACTGAATCCACCTGGAGCAATACCCTTATTTAGTGCCTTCTAGCTAGACAGTGTGCTAAGAGCTGAGGATACAAAGAAAGGCAAAAACCAAAACAAAAACTAGTCCCTGCTTTCGAGGAATTTATAACAAGGTGCAAATGAGATAAATAAGTAAATGTATGTGTGCAGATGTATGCATACATAAATACATACATATATATATGTATATGTATATATGATTAGTAGTAATATTAAGATGAAAGGCACTTGGGGCAGCTAGGTGGCACAGTGGATAGAGCACCGGCCCTGAAGTCAGGAGGACCTGAGTTCAAATCTGGCCTGAGACCAAACACTTGACACGTACTAGCTGTGTGACCTTGAGCAAGTCACTTAACCCTGATTGCCTCATTTAAAAAAAAAAAGATGAAGGGCACTGGCATTATGGGGACTGGAAAAGGTGAGATTTTAGCGAGGGCCTGACGGAAGCCAGGAGACAGAGATGAGGAGCCATACCAACCAGCAGGCCATGTAGTAGTCTAGGCATGAAATGATGAGGGCCTACATGAGAGTGGGGCAGTGTCAGAGGAGAGAAGGAAGCATGTACGAGACTGGGAAGGTAGAAACAACAGGACTTAATGACTGACTGAATATGGCGGGTAAGAGTGAGGAGTCAAGGATGCGCTGGATGACTGGGGGGGGCACATCAGAGAATCGAGAAGTTCGAAACAGGACAAGTTGGGGGGTCGGGGGGGAGACAATTCCATTTTGGAATACCTACAGAACATCCAGTTCAAGGTGTCCAGTGGGCAGTTGATGGGAGCCAAGAGGTCAGAACTGGAGCTATACATCGGGGAATCATCAGCATCGAGATGGTGATTGACTCCATGGGAGCTGAGGACGTCATCCAGTGAGACCGTACAGAGGGAGAAGAGAAGGGGGCCCAGGAGAGAGCCCCGGGGGACACCCACGGTTGGCAGGCAGGACGAAGATGAGGATCCAGGCCTGTTCATTGGAGGGAGGGTGATGACATCATCCCCTGTAAGGAGCTTTGGGTGCGGCTCCTGAAACCTGGGATTGTCGAGGTTGATAAGAAGGCACTGGTAAAACCATACCATGACATCTGGAACGTCAGGGCCCTTCAGCTTCCTCCAAACCTTGAGCATCCCTTAACACCCCCACCATACCTGGATTTAAAGAACTTCTGTGCTTAACAGCATCCCCCAGGCTCCTGTCACACCAGGGACCCCAAAAGGATCCATCGGCCTAGTAGCATAATAGACCCTTGTTGACCGATTGGCTTGTTTGGGGACCCAGAATAAGCTTCAACCCTGGAGACCTAAAGCAGATCATCCAGAAGTCTCTCTCCCAGTCCTCATGACTCCTTGAGATCCATGTTTTTGGAGGTCTCTGGCCATACAGGCCAGACTGGGCGTAGCCTTCGCCAGGCACCTAGGGATGGCTTAGGCTTCTGAAGCTGCAAGGTAGCCGCTAGCTTTTGGGGAAGCAGGGGTGCTATAGCCCAGCCAAGGGATACCCAACGTTGAAGGCACCAAGGTAACATGGCCAAGAAGGGCCACCATCACCACATGGATACAAGACTGCCCTTCACTCTCCCTGCTGCTTCCCCACCTAACCCACCATCAGCTGCCCTGAGTGAATGTCTCCACCCCAGGAGAAAGAGAAGTAATCGAAAGGAAGATGACAGGCACCTCCCCCGGCCAAGCAGGAAAGCAGGACTCCAATGGTCCAGGAAGAGCTTAGAGCAGATAGTTGTTGCTTCCAGCCCTACCCAATACCCCTCAGTCCCTACATGAATAGCCTGCACTATGACCATATCAACCAGTTAAGGCTAGATTGTTGGACTGGGAGTCAGGAAGACCTGAGTTAGAATCCAGCCTCAGATACCCACCAGCTGTGTATGTCCCTGGGCAAGTCACTTAACTTCTGCCTGCCTCAATTTCCCCATCCTAGAAAATGGGGATGACAATATCACCAGCCTTGTTATGCCGATCAAATGAAATAAATATGTAAAGCTCTGGGCAAACCTTTAAGCGCTACACACATGTGGGCTGTTGTTATCATCAACCAGCTTCTGGAGGAGGCACACTTTTCTGTCCTACAGTGCTGCAACGGCTCTCCTTTATGATGGACAAGCAAGGCCTTGCCTTCCTGAGAGGTGCAGCATTGGGCAGATTTGAGTTTTTAACTTTAAATGATTGTTTTTGAAAATTGCATGAAATATACCCGCTGGCTTTTCGATCCCTGCTTGAAATCACAGGTTAACAGATGCATGCATGGGTTTGTTTTCCTATGACAATTTCACAGGGCCTGCAAGCCATTTTTAGAGGATTCTTTTCAGAACTGCTCTCAAATCCACATCGTAGGAAGAAACCACATCCGTACATTAAACGGGGATGGGGGTGCCTACTATGGGCCAGGTTCTGTGCTAAACACCTTACGGTTATCTCATTTGAGACTCACAACAACCCTGGAGAGAGGGGTTATTATTATTCCCATTTTACACATGGGGAAACTGAGGCAAATAGCAGTGAAGTGACCTGCCCAGGGTCACACATTGGTACGTGTCTGAGGCCAGATCTGAAGTCAGGTCTTCTGAATCAACATTATAAGTCTATGTTATGCCCAGTTCAAATATGGAAATTCATTGGAACCTACCTGCTTTATGTAGGGAATCGTTTCAAAAAACTGAGGTTTTTGAATTTTAAAGTTTTTTTTTTTTGTAATTCAGTGAACCTGTGAAGACTACTCTGCATGAAAAACATTGATTTTCCTTCTAAAGTATCCCAAAGCTAACTCAGCCTTGCCCTGACGCGAGCCATCCTACTTCTCAGTATGCAGAGGCTTACTGATGGGTGTTCAAGGAGAACTAGCATCCTTGGGGCTAAGTTCCCCTGCTAGGTTGGGGCAGGGCAGGAATGGGAAGCAGATCAGCCTTAGAGCGCTTAAGACAGAAACATGCACCACATTCCTCCATCCCTCCTTAAGATCAGTCTCCTCTTCCTTCTGTGATGGGTTTGCATTCCAGGGAGAATTCTCTAAGGCACCTCCTTGAACCCAGATTATTTCTGTGACATCATTGAACCTTGAGAGGCTAGATTCAGGCTATTTGGCAAGCACCGCCCAATTCTGAAAGACAGGAAGTTGTCCTGTATTTGCAGTAACTTTGGTCTCAGATACAAAAGTATGTCAGCAGTTTTAAAAATCTCTCCTGCTGTGTCGTAGGCATCTGTAGAGCTGGGCCCACAGCTTAGGTTCAGTGGATTACAGTTGAAGTCCTTCCCAAGAGTCGCTAGGGGGCCGTGTTCCCTCAATAAAACCGCAAAAACTGATGCTATTTAGAACCAAATCAGCCGGGGACTTGTAGGAAACCAAGGTAATATTGTCTTAGAAAAAGGAGTATGTCTTGAAAATTTGTTCGATTGAATCTAGTCATTCCAGAGCGCCGATTAGGCCTGAAACGTGATGGTGTGATTCGTGTCTTCCCGGGTTTCCACGAGCCGTGGTCTGAACAAGGATCCAGGACACTGGGTCATCTGCTCTGTGGAGTCCAAGGGGTGCAGTTGGCTGTTAGATTTACAGGAAAGAGCCTTAGATGCTTCTAGGATCCTTTTGCCTGCATCACGCCCTTCGGTCTTCTATTCGGAAACCCACATGGCACACGAAAACAGGATTAAACCCCTGAAAGGGTTCGCGTGATGTCCTTCCCTTGTGCATGAGGTTGGAAAAAACGTCATTGGAATGGACTGATTCTCTGGATGGGTTTCAAAAAAAAGACAAAAAAAGGACTTTCACCTTTGTGTTTATGGAACTAGTCAATCAAACCATTTTAGGGGAAAGGGCAGGCTTCAGTGAACATCCCCTGTCTGCTTTGCTCCCTCAGTGTGACTAGGATGGGCTCCGGACACTTGAAGGGTCCATTTAATCTTAAGGGGAAGTTATGGCCCAGTGGCCAAACATCAGTGGAAAGGGAGTGATTCAATTACGTCTAAATTTCTGCTAATTAAAGGCATCACTCAGAAGTGATTGCTGGGGAAAGAGTTCTCTTTTCTTCGTTCCTTTCACCACCAGCAGCCTTTTTAAAACATGCCAAGTCTAAAAATGTTTAGCAAGAAGGCTCCTAATGGGAAGAGACGGGGAAAAGGGACACATTATTCACTTGGGCTTTTCAGTCAGAGATTCAGGGCAAACAGCTAACCTCTGATGAGTTCTGAAATACCCCAGGCTGACCCTCTGTGGGCTTGGCTGGTTTCATTGGACGGGGTCCTACTGAAATACATGTGCTAGGGAGAAAATGCAAATTGCTTGGAAAAACACCCAGCTGCCCCTTTCCTCTTAACTAGAGTGTGTGAGGTACAAAATTCCTTTTTCTGTTTCCCAAATGAATACCCTCATTATCTGAGGTTGGCTGCGAAACTCTCCCCACCTAGTAAGGGAAATAAAACTCCACCCTCTTTTACAGACTACTCTAGAGGCAGATGGTGGTCCAGTGCTCTGAGCACCATGCCTGGAGTCAGGAAGACCTGAGCTCAGATGAGACATTTACCAACTATGTGATCCTGGGCAAGTCACTTAACCTCTGTCTGTCCCAGTTTCCTCAACTGTAAAATGTGGATAATAGTAGCACCTACCTCCCAGGATTATTGTGAGGATCAAATGAGATATTTGTGAAGCACTTAGCAAAGCTATAAATGCTGGATATTTCTATAGCACTGTCAGCTGAAAATTCTCTCAAGTTTGAGGCTGGTTAATTCTATTTTTAAACATCCATTTAGCTCAATTCACTATTTTATCACATGTAACCATTAAATACAGCATTAGTTAAAAAAAAAAGTGGGGTGGGGAGAGCAAAAACTTATCTGTTGCTAGACCTAAGGACTAGTGAATGGATGCTGTGGGTTCTGCCACCACTTTTCATGAACAGTTATCTGTTTTGAGTTGGGTGATGCAAATGGTCCCCCCAAGAAGATGGGGAGACCACAGGAGACCTCCATAATTAAAATGAAATTAATGGTGCACTCAAGTTACCCTTCCAAGTCCTTTGTGTATCAGAGCCCTTCACCATCAGGCTGTGATTCTTCCAGAGGCCTGGGGCCTCTTGTCCCAGCCTTAGTATCCAGTCTCTGCCACTATTCCAGTGGGCCCCTCCTTGGAACGATCTGGCTCCCAAAGAATACCATTTTGCCTGGTTCACTAATGGCCCCACCAGCTACAAAAGTGGGATGTGAAATTGGATGTTGGCAGTCATTGATCAGGTACCAGGGGATACTGTGAAAGATGGAGGTTCTCTGAGAGGGATGAGCTGCTGTCAGCCAGCTAGCATTTCTGAAGACCCTTCTATGTTCCTGTAGGGCAGCTAGATGGCACAGTGGATAGAGTTTGGGGCCTGGAGTCAGGAAGACTCATCTTCCTGAGTTCAAATCCAGCCTCAGACACTTGCTAGCTGTGTGACCCTGGGCAAGTCACTTAACCCTGTTTGCCTCAGTTTACTCCTCTGTAAAATGACAAACCACTCCAGTGTCTTTGCCACGAAAGAGTCGGACATGATTGAAACAACTGAACGACAACAAATATGTTCTCAGCATGTGCTACGTGCTTGGGATACAAAGAAGAGCAAAGATAGTCCCCGTCTCAAGCATCTCACAGTCAAACAGGGGAGACAGACAGCTCCCAAGCAGCTCTGGACAAACAAGTTAAAGACAGAGTAAACGGGGGTAGTCTCAGAGGGAAGGCGCTCAAATTGAGGAGTGGAAGATGCTGGTATTTTAGCTGGTACCCGAAGGGAGCCCAGGAGGTCGGGAGGCAGAGATGAGGAGGGCGTGCATTCCAGGCCTGGGAAGCCACCAGGGAAAATGTCCGGAGTTGAGACACGGAGAGTCTTGTGTGAGGAACTGCAGGGAGGCCAGTGTTACTGGATAGAGTATACGGTGGTGGATGGGTGGGGACAGAGTGAGGTATGAGAAGCCTCAGAAGGTAGGAAGCTTCAAGGCTGGGGTGAGAGAGCTGTGAGGTGTGGGTTGGATAAGAGCTTCATCTGTGACCTCTGGGCA